TAGGGGGGAGTATAGGAATAATCATGTAATAGGTTGGCGGTGGCATTATTACCCAAAAGGGGCAAGGTGTCCCCTAACTGATACTAGGAGTTTAGACTACAGCTCATGTGTTTGAATGGTAGACATCAACAGCTGCTGCGAGGCTTAATGACAGGGTGGTGATTGATGGCTCTGGGGAATGGCAGGGCAAGCTATTGGGAGGCCAGTGATTGCATCAGAAGGCAGACTTTGCTAGTGCTCCAGCTTTTCTGGGCAGGCCCCAACCGCATTTACATGGATTTCTTTGCAAATGAGGACAGCTGTTCATACTTTGTTTGGATATGTTTCTGTTTCAACTAGTGTGCTGCAAGGCCTCGAAATTCGTCCAGTTGTCATACTGTGGGCCAGACACCGGTGATGAATGGAGCGTCATGCCTGTTGCAGTGCTGCAGCACGAGACTAGCAGGCAAGAAGAAGCTGTTGCAAAGCCTTCCAACGCTCCACCCAGCTTCACAAAGAGGCTGTTAATATCTGTCAATGCGGTTGGAGTGCAGCCGAGGATTTGGAATCATGCCAGGCCAGGTGCATCGCGTGCAGAAGCTTCCTTATGGTGAATCTTGTGCTATCTGCTAGCTGGGCTTGAATATCAGGTGGTCCCAAAGCCCGGCTTCATTGCGGAGTACTTCCCTGAGGCCTGAAACAGACTGAAGAACTAAAATATCACCTACAGTTGCATCATACACCTGCTTGGCTCGGCATCACTAGATGCACGGCAAGTCATGTTGCGTAGTCAGCGCGTATCTTCCTGGCTGGTGTGGCTTGTGGTGTCCTCCAAGACTCAGATGCATACAGTGTTGCACTGCGGAAGGATTACGAAGATGGCGTCATCCCAGAAGGCATTGACCCGGACATCGTGCGAACCGAGAAGCAGCTTGACTTCGAGGAGGCCTGGGTTTGGCTCTCCCCTGGGCACAGCGGAGTGGGGGTTGCTTGCGCTTGCAGCTGGCAGGTGGAGACGCCTTGGCAGGGCCTTCCAGCACGCTACGCGGGGCCATTCGCAGCGCGCTTCACAACGCTGCCCGGCAAAATAGCTGCTCCGCCAGTCTGAGCGCAACTCTGGCAAGTCCAACATGTCCAGCTGACCTGAAAGGTACATCAACGTCACCTGCGGAGATGCTAAGAAGGCCAAGTATCAGTTCATGCTCGAATCCGGCATCTCGGCAGCACGGAGACGCACTTCCCTATGCCTATCCGATAGAATCCCCATGATTCGTTGTTTCCGTTTCATGACCACTTTTTGTCCCATTTGATTCCGCATTATCAGGTAAATGTGACGATGTGAAGTGTAGCTGCGTAACCTCACGTTGCTTTTCCATTGCCCTGTAGAGCCCCACATATGCCCTTATATCTTCCATGCCCCCCTACCCTAAACCCTAAACCTTGAAACCTAGACCCCACATAACCTGTGTATATACATATATACATATGTACATATGTACATATGTACATATGTATATATGTATATATCTATATATGTAACTATGTATATTTGTAGATATGTATATTGGAAAGCTGAGGCATGAAAGCAATTCTGTACATCAACGACAAGCAGGTGTCCTTGGAGGACAAGCCTGTGGACATCGAGCTGAAGAAAGGCGGGCAAGTAAAGAGGGTTACAGGGGGTATATGGGAGTATGCCTCGTTTAGGGTTTAAAGCTTTCTCAAAATGAGGGGTACCTTTCGGAGGGTTCCTTTTGTGAGGACTTTTGTATTTTGGGGTCTGTCTTGGTATCCGTTTTCATGAAACTTACCAAGTATCATAGGTGAATTGCATGACATGGACGGGGCTGAAGATAGCCCAAAGCTAATGCATTTTAAACCAACATGCCGTCGATCCACACATACAGCTGTACGCACGGGGCTTGCACAAGACGACCCGTGAAATGTGATACCACCTGCTGTAAACGGCCATGGGTAAGATAAGAACCGAACTCGTCAGACTGGACAGGGCAGCACCTGGTCCGCGTGGACTACTTCTGTCATGGCGGTGAGAAGCATGGTCGCTGGCTTACAAGTAAGAAGATGCCATCCGATCGAGCCAGGCACATGTCAGGCACATCTCTGTTTTGAGTCTGTCCCAGGCCTGAAGCTCTTCTACCGTGGGCCCGAGACGATGCCCAAGGCGGAGGACGGAGATGAGGTGCCAGAGGCAGGGTGTGCTCGAAGGGTCATTGTGACATAGTTCAATGCTCTGCATTTTGCAGAGATTGACTTTGAAATGCGCAGCCGGCAGTTTTCGGAGTTTGTGCTCTTGCAGGGTGCTGGCAAGATCCTCGTCCCTCCCACAGCCACCTGCAGCTTGGAGCAAATTTGACCACAGAGGTACATTTGTCCCAAGGATCATAGTAGGCTAAAGTTGACTATGGGATCTATGTGTTTGTAGCGTCGTCGTTGTGTGCTGCAATTTCTGCTGCTCTGCTCCCACTGCTGCTGCTGCTGATGATGATGATGATGATGATGACTGTGATGAGTGATGACGATGATGATTGTGATGATGGTGGTGGTATGTGGTGGTGATGATGAAGCTACAGGCTACTACGCGCTGCCATCCTGCGTCGTCGTCTCAGCTGGCAATTCCGGATGTTCACGTTGAGCTGAACAGCTGGACTATATGTGGCATGCCAAGCTCAGCCTGCAAGGCGCAGCCGAAGGGCGAGCCGCTCATGAAGCATGACAAGGCCTCCAGCAATTGGGCTGAAGTTTCCTCTTTGATGGTAGCCTTGCCTCATACGGGCTCAGGCTGTTCACACCGTCCTGTGGTCGGAAGACGATTCTCGCATTGCATCCGTGGGCGGTGCTGGCAAGGCTCTCCAGCATCCCAACACAGTCTGCGCATTTCTATTCCAAACTAGACAGCAGTACCTGTCTGTCCTGCAAGATTCACTTCTGGGATCCGCCTACAGGAGCTCAGGGCTGCATGGGTTGTTTCCGGAGCTTGGCATGCCAGATCATTGCTTGGAATTGCTTGGACAGAAGGAGCCTGCTCCTGAACTGGCAGGACGCTACGTTGACAGCACTGATGTTGGTGGCAAGATTACGACAGCTGCAGGGGGCAAAGACAAGATTGCCAGATGCTCAGACGTGCAAGAGATTACGGGATGTTCAAAACGTCGTGGGTTTCCTCTAGAGCCGTAAGGGAGATCATTGTGCAAGTACATAAAAGGATGGATCCTGAAGTTAAGGAATATCCATCCCAACATGAGGGCAAAGATGCCCGAGAGTTTCTTGGGGGCTGCCTCTGTAACTGGCTCGCAGGCCTTGGCTATGGATGACGATGACAGAGCCTCTTGGAATAAAAGCGCTTGCAATCCCTTTGCAGGGTTCAGAGCATGGCGGTGGCGACGTGTGCTGATTTTCCGAAGGAAAGTTTCTGTTGCGTGTTTCCAGTCTAGGTAGTCTAGGTCTGCTGATGCCTCTTCCTGAGGCTATCAAAATCATTGACTTTGCCACGAAGAAGGAGATCCGCGTCCTCAAGCACGTGCCGCAAGACCTGCCAGATGAGGAGATCTTTTTGTGTAGCAGAGCTTGGCTTTCTTAAGAAGCAGTGCGGCAGTGTCCTTCCACAAGGAGCCGGCAGAGCCTGAGCTTGACGAGAACGGTGAGGAGATTCCACCGCCCGAGCCTCCAAAGAAGCTCGGACCTCACGAAGGCTGGGCCGAGACAGATTTCACTGTAGGCCGTGCAAACTTCAGCTGCCTGTGCCCGCTAGCCCCGCTGCAGGTCCGGTTCGCATCATTTGCTTCAGCAGGGATGGCAAGTTCATCGCGTCTGGCAGCGAGGACCAGATCCTGTGCATGACAAGCCTTTCCATGGGGCTTTTTTTCGTGACGCTTCGTCCTTGGCCAGCATAGGATGTTTTGCTGCGGAGTTACATGCCGCAAGTTGGACGTGTGCACTTTCAATGTGCTTTCTAATTAGGCGTCCTGCTTCCAGGATGGCGTGGTCAAGCTATGGGACATGAACACGGGTGAGGAGCTGATGACAAAGGCAATCGTGCAGAACACGAAGGACACATGCACTGTTGCTGGAAATCCGGATCCAGAAGCTTCTGCTCCGAGCTTGGGAAGGCTGTGACAGAATTATGCCAGGAGCATGGTGAGACGCCGGTGGCAATCCACTCAGCGGGCTTCTGCGGCGATGGGACAAGGCCTGCCAACCTCTAGGCCGCGCATGCTCGATGAGAGGCTTTGACAATCTGTGCGTTCAGGCTTCTGGTGGGCAGTAACGAGAAGCACTTGCGAAGCTTGCCTGCAACTTCTGTGAGATGTGTGAAGTATTGCGGTAAGCCACGTAGCAGTAATGCAAATGTAGCCTTCGTGCCGTGTGAGGCATTTACAACACTGCTGCTCGCGATGAGCTGCGCGGTCCGAAGAAGCTCCTCCCGAAGCCTGCTGAGCCGGAGGAGGGGTGGACCGAGGAGAACCCGGAGCCCGAGGATGAGTACGAGGAGGCTTTGTGGTAGTTTCCCCAAATTAGGGTACCCCAATATAGACCCCAATATACTATAGTCCTTATTATGAGGACCCCTGAGAAGGGTACCCCTAATGTTGGGAAACCACCTTGTCATGCTGCTCTTTGAATGCGCTCAGCAAGAAGATGTATAAATCAGGGTGATCCCGTCTTCTTGGCCTGTCACAAAGCACCTGTGGTCCCTTGGAAGAATTCTAAGCATGCAGTGGAAGTCTTTAGTGCGTTTTGCAGATCCCTCTGCCCAGGTCTGCCTCTCCTTCTCACCACTGGATGGCAACCGCATCTCGGCGGAAATCCTTGCAATCCTTGCTTGCAGTACGTTGGGTCTGATTGGGCCAACTCTCTGAGGCTTTGCGACTTGCAGTACAGACGCGACCTAAGAGGCATTGCTTGTCATTTCCTTCATGTACTTGCAAGCCCATTTTAGTTCCTGTCCTGGCTTGTTTAGCTACAGAGGTGATAAGAGGTGTTGCCCCCATCCGCATCCACCCGAGGGTTAAGATCAGAGCAAGTCATAGCACTGTTTGGAGCTCTCTTTCAGCTGAGGATGCAACAATCCGGATCTGGGATCTGGTGAACAGTCACTTGACAGGCAGAAGAGAATAGAAAGCATGACTACAGGCCTTGAGATGGACCTCATTGTTGCGAAACCCGGCTTGGAGGTCTGTGACGCTCATGCCTTCCCGCAGCATGCAAGACCAAGGTGAGTATGATGCCGAGCTGAAGCAGGTAGGGTCAACTCTTCAGTGGGCAAAGCTGCCATGGTGGCTTGCATTATAGAGCCCTGTCGCGCAGGTCATTGATCCCATTCAGTGTTTGTCGGGCTTCGTGACCTGGTCACCGGATGCCACTTCGCTAGTGTCATCATGGCTGCACTAGCGCGCGTTTTTGTAGCATGCATGGACATGCATGTGCTGTGCAGTCAGCTTGTCGGTACAATCAGGTCTTCATCAGAGGATATCTACGTCGGGCTTTTCTCCGCCGTCAGCGGACAGCGCAGAGCTGATCCCTTGCAGGTATCGCGGCATTGCCGTTCATTCATTTCTGGGATTAGCAGTTTTCGCTAACAATGTCAGAAGTTCACTCCCATGACAGGGCCACTTGGCAAGCGTGCGCTACTCTGCATGGGCTCCGTGCTCGCGATCAAGCTGCAAGAAGCAGAGTTGGGCAACGCTTTGAGTCTGCACTGCACCTGTGTCTCCATGGCCATCAACTGAGGCAAGCATTTGTGACTTGCTCTGATGACCACACAGTGCGCTTGTGGCACTTCCTAGTCAACAGGCCACTTCTGGAACTGCTGTGATTACATGTTGCATCCGGCTGATCTCTGAGTTGGCAGGAACATCACAGAAATCGCTGTTCTGGAGGGTGAGCAGATGGAGTTCAACGATGACATGCGTAAGCGCCCTTCTCAGCCTGTCTTTGATCTGTCTCAAGAGTTCCCCACTAAAGCGTGACAGGCGTGCGAGTCAATGAGCAAGCTCTGCATCGGCAGGTGGAACGAGAGCTTGCACAGGATTCGAAATGAGTTCAAGGAGCAAGCGCTTTAGCAGTAGGGCCAACTGTCGCAAGAAGCAAGCACGGAGTGCGGGGACGCAGGTCCAGACAAGAAAGTGCGTGTCTGCTGTACATGAGGGTCAAGACTGCAGAAAGCCAGGACTACAGCAAGGGATTGTCGGACTATGAGAGCGAGGTGTATAACCTGAAGAAGAATCTTGACGAGGCAAGGCGTGATCCAATGCCATGGCTGCAAAGAGCTTACCCAACTTGCAGCCTTTCTAGAGAAGGTTTCCGGGAACATCTATACATACATATATATATATATAGAGAGTCATATTACATATATATATATATAGATGCCGTTGGCATGCTACGTGACGATGACTGGCAGGCGGTAGCCTACAGAATATTCTATAGTCCTTATTGTAGAACCCCAAGAAGATGTAACCCTAATTCTAGGAAACTCCCACATGGACAAGTTTTCCCAAAACCCTAACCCTAAATGTTTCCATTTTCTTTTCCATGATCCCAATATTACCCTACATTAGATATAGCCTTCAGCTGCTCAGGACCAGCCCCAAACCAGAAACCCTGAACCCTGAACCCTAAACCCTGACCCTTAACTTAACCCTGAACCCTAAACCCTAAGCCAACAAACCCTAAACCCTAAGCCAGGCCTTGAATAGGACGAAGTCCTACGTGCAGCGCGAGCAACTTCTCGGCCTGGAAGTGACGGACCGTCTGAAGAACCGATTTGAAATTACTGCAGTTATTAATACTATAAGTATTCTTATTATACTCATGAATACTATTCATAGTAGTACTGATATTCTTGTCATTTTCATTAATTTTGTGCTGGGGTCAAGGCTGCAAATCGCACTGACTCCTCTGTGTTGTGCATGCTAGGACTACTACGAGCTTGATGGAATGATCGATGACTTCAACCCCTACTACCTGCTCTGGAGCACAGTCATCGAGTTCCAACGCTCAGAAAGGCCTTGGGCTCGTGATGCTTCAGTAGCTGGGCACCTGCCCAATCCGTCCAGCACGCGAATTAGCAGGTACTGTTGCTGGCTGCTATCGTCCCATCCATGCACAAAAGGGTCATGTGAAAAGGGGTATGCGCCGCGGAGCAGCCCACCATTTGAGCTGTGCCAAACTTACGTGTTGAGCTCTGTCACAGGAAGTGGACACTGGAGCCGATCTCGTCCCACAACTCTACAGAGGTGGAGAACACCATTGACAGCTGGTACAAGTGTCCCAGATGCAAGGAGGAATCAAAAAACATTTCAAATATGGCGACCATTGTGGCTATCTAATAATTTCCATCAGGGACCATGCGATTGTCATGAACATCTACAGGAGCAACTTGTGCGTATCTATTTTGCTTGATATCTTACCATCCAACCTGCGACGTGATCCCATTATGATCCTGGGTGGGCCCAACAGATCCAACACTCAACACAATCTCCATCAGGACCCTGTCAACTAACTCCTTTGCGAAGCTATGAGAAGGCAATGAGACTTCCCATTATAGAATGGCATCCAAAGTAGCTTGAGCGTACAACCATGACTGCCGAGCCATGGAGCAATTGAGCAAGGTAGGCTGAAGCCAGCAGTAAGTCAGTAGAAATGGCAAAATAGGCTGCAGCAAAGAGGGCCTTGCTGCAACAGAGACCTCCAGGAGTTAGACTCTGCTGACAAAAGCAGCCTAGCTGCGGACGATGCAGTCATCACTCTGCAGGCTGGTCTATAAGATGATCAAAGACTTTGACAACGACAACATGAGGCTGGTGTATACATGCATTCTTTTAAACGGAAGCATGTTGCTTTAAGTGGATGGGACCTCACCTGCAGGGCTGCGCAGAAGATCGCCAAGGAGCTGCGTCAAGGCCTGGAGGAATTCAAGGGCCGCTTCCCTTTCCTGCGCTGCTTCGCCAATGAGCCCTGGACACCTCTAAGGTCAAGAAGCCAGCTACAAGTAATTGATAGCAACGCGATAATTTTTGCACTGCACGGTTACTGGCATGACAACCGAGGAGTCGGTTTTGGACCGGCACTGGAAGGAGATGTTCGAGCGCATGGGAGATGCAGCTCCAAATCCATCGCTGTACGGCAATGACTACAAGAATGTAACGCTCCAAATGATGTTGGATCATAACATCAACGAGTTCACGAACGACTTTGAGGAGCTGTCAACTGCAGCAGCCAAGCAGCATGGTCTGAAAAAGGCAATGGGCAACATGAAGGTGGAGTGGCAGCCTCTCGAGTTTTTGACGGCAGAGCGAAACGGAGTACCGCTCCTCCGTGGCATTGACGAAATTCAGACGGTCCTGGATGACCACATCTCCAAGACCCAGGCTATTCGAAGCAGCTAGCGGCTTAGTCAACACGCTGCCTGCAGCTCACCTTTCAAGTTGGACTCCTGCCTTTGCAGGGATCCATGATCCTTTCCGATTGTCTGCCAGGTCCCTTCTGCAAGCCGTTCGAGGCGGAGGTGCACGAGTGGGAGCGAACTCTGATGTACATCCAGGATTTCATCGACCAAGTCATCGGTTTGCAGAGGTGCCTGGGTGCAAACGAGGGTCCAAACGGTGTACTGCAGGTAACTGGCTGATGCTTCCGGTTCTGCCTGAAAGCTCCTCGCAAGGAGCTGGATGGCTTTGGAGCCAATCTTCGCATCGGACGACATCAAGCGCCAGCTTCCACAGGACTACTGTGGTGAGTCACATACAAGACGACAGATTTAGGCCAGCTTGAGGCAACTTAGACAACATCATTAGATAGTGTGATGCCATGGGTTCCGAGTGCCGCGTGCCTGCTCGACATCAGCTTGACTGACTGTCGGCTAAAAACGAGAGGAATCAGAGTCCTTTGCGCGGATTGACAGCAATTTCCGGATGCGCATGGCGCAAGTGGACTCCAACAAGACCTTCGTCGGTCAAGATTCACATGTATCGCAGCCGTTACTGTATGAGATGGCATCGCATTCTTGGTGCGCACAGCCTCAAGACAAGGAACTGTATCGCAATCTCCAAGATCGAGAACATCGTGGAGGACATGACAGAGGCCGGCTTGCCCTCCGCAATGTTTCAGCTTCAACCGACAGCATCCAACAGCCATGCCCCACTCTTCTGAGGCCAACGTGACAATTGAGAAGGTCCAGAAAGGCCTGAAGGACTACTTGGAGACCAAGAGGCTGGGAGACGGACAGCAGCCGGAAGCTTCTAACCTCTGGCAGAATCCTTGGAGCAAGGCTTTACTTCCCTCGCTTCTTCTTCTTGAATGATGCTGACCTGCTGTCAATTCTGGCAGAGACCAAGGCACAGCTGTGCAGCTGCCAAGTGACTGTAGGAGTTGTGGCTGCTGATTTGGAGCCTGTGTAGACTGGCAGACTCTCTCTTATTTGAGCCAGGATCCTACGCTGGTGCAGCCTCACTTGAACAAAGCCTTTGAGGGCATTGCCAAGGTTCGCTTTGATTCCAAGTGAGCTGGCTGCACCTAGCAGTAAGTCTTGCGAACAACCTACTTGTCCTTGCCGATCTCAGGAACGAAATCATCGAGGCTATGACTTCCGGTGAGGGTGAGACGGTCGATTTCACCAACAAGGTTGACGTCATGAAGCCTGGGAACGCCGGTGCGGTGGAATGCTGGCTGGTGGAAGTGGAGGAGTCCATGATGGACATTCTGCGTGAGGTCACTGACAAGTCCAACAAGGCATACCCGACTGCAGACCGAGTGAAGTGGCTTGGCTTTGCACCCTTGGCCGGCTCCTTGCGTAATTAAGGGATTTTCCAGGGTTCCTGTTAAGGGTTGATTAAGGGAGAGATTAGGAGGTTAGACTATAGCTCAAACATCAGGAAATCTTTCTTATCCGTGGCCTTTTTGGAGAGCTTCTTTTTAATTTCTTCTGTACTGTTTTGAACAGGTCAATCAAGGCTAAAGCAAGCGTCAAAACCAATCAAACTGAAGCCAAACCCTCGCCAAGCCGCCTAAGCCGAAACGAATCACATGGTAGGTTGTACAACCTATGGTCCCTTTCTGGACCCGTATTATAATATTGCCCCTCATATTCATGGTACCTAAAAAGGGGCCATAGCTTTAACAACATACAACATTAATTGCCATGACTCGCCAACATCATTCGGTTTCCCCACAAGACAAACAAGAAACCACATCCGCATGAAGCCAAAAGCAACCCAAAGCTGCATCGATACCGTAGGGTCACAAAATGGACCTTACCTATTCTTTAGTAAAGACCCCGGATAGTCCCAGTATGATCCCAATATATATATATACACACAGTTACACACACTTAAACTCTGAACCATAAGCTTACATTTCCATACCCCTTCCCCCTTTGTTTGGTTCCCATCTGAGCTATAGTCTAAACTCCTAGTATCCCCCTTTGCAACCTCTATAGTAGTCCCCTATATAATCCCCTCTATAACCCCTTTGAGGAGTTTAGATTACAGCTTATATTACGGCTGCCAGGTGGTGCTGCGAATGGCCGGGCCAGGTGGTGCTCGCCACGGTACCTCGAAGCATTTCGCAGCAAACCCCAAGTGGGGGCCTGTCAACATGATGGTCCCTCTTTCGGGTTTAGGCTATAGGGTTTTGGATTTGGGGCGTAGTGTATCAGGAACCCCGGGACCCCAGAAGGACAGTGTCTCAGAATCACCCTACAGAACTGTTGACAGGGACACCCCAATGCCTTTATAATCTCCATAGGTGCCTGCATTTTTGTACAGCCGCCTTGTTTTAAGAAAGCCCTATGTGATAAGAAGTTCTGATCCAAAGTCGATTGGCAATGCCTCCAAATGATGGGTACTACCCTTGAGGCGTTTTCATTGGTAGAACAGGCACGCAGCATGTAACCTATAGTCTAAATTCCTAGTATCACCCGTAATGACCCCTATAATGGTCCCTTATATCCCCTCTATAGCTCCTCTAAGGAGTTTAAACTCTAGCTCATGTAACTATGAAGAGGGAACTGTCTGCACAAGGACATGATATTCTGGACGTCGGAAGTCACTGATTCCCTTAGAAAGGGCGCCATTGCGGAGTACGAGAAGCTTCCTGGCTGCTGGTTTTTGTGGTTTTTTTCCAAAATCAGGGGTCCCTCTTTAGAGTCCCGGTAACATGGATGACCTGATTTTGGGACACTACCTTGTGCCTGTTTCTGGAGTACAAATACTGCAAAGACTGAAATGGCAAACATCTCCAAATGAAGGGAACTCGCAGCTCTAGCTTACATGTTACGTGAAAGTGCAAGACAACAACTCAATCATGTTCGGCTCGTGAGGAAGCTGTTTAAGCAGCTGGAGGACATTGTCGTGCTGGTTCGAGGACCTGTTGCATGCCAGCTGATGGTTTCTGCTGATTGCATCATTCCCTTGATGTTGCCAAACTGGACTTCAGAACAATTGTTTTTACGACTGATATGATAGGTATGCAATTTTGCATCTAGAGAGGAGAGATGACCAAACTGAACCGTGTGACTGTGGGTGCTATGGTGACTCTGGATGTCCATGCGAGAGACGAGGCCAAGAGCTTTGGGACCTTCTGATCCCTAAAACCCCCTCTATCCTCCCAGTTTCCATTTCATTGCTGAAGTTTGGGCTTGATTTTCCGTTCCCCAAGTGTTGCAGGTCACGAACTTGGTGCAGAAGCGTGTGGACTCGCCAGATGATTTCGCCTGGCTGTCGCAGCTGCGATACTACTGGCAGGAATTGTGGTCTGCAGCATTTCCCCTTTTTCTCTCATTGCTACTATTGCCTGTATTCTCACTATTACTACCAGTACTGCTATCATTACTGTTATTACTAGCATTACTATGATTATTACTACTACGAGATGCAGCACAGACACTTGCTGCAGCGAAGCAAGTTCACTTGTGCAATGCCAGATACTGGCCAGATATCAGCATCCCATGAAAAGAGCAGAGTGATGCTTAGCCACAACAGGCTCGGCCTTTCTGAAACGTCACCTTACTGCTTCCAGGACAAGAATTCATTCGAAAGAATTGATACCGGAAAGATGCCCCTCGCCGTGATTATCGGAATGGAAAAGTGCTGCGTTCTACATGCGATCCTTCTACTTGTGGCTGCAGGTATTGCTTAAAGATTATGTTAGGATTCTTATTCTCTGCGTCATATATTAAGGAATGAGAAGATGGAGTGCAAGGTCTCCATTGCACCAGGGCAGCAGCATGTGTTCAGAAAGCAACTGAGTGACTTGGAGGGTGGCTTGTCGCCAGTCTCGCCTGCAACAACCCTGTGGACTTGAGGTCAACTCCACTTTACTTTATGGCTTCGAGTACTTGGGAAATTCGCCTCGTCTTGTCATCACGCCCCTCACAGACAGATGCTACCGAACGCTGATGGGTGCCCTGAAGTCTTGAAGTCAGGCGGTATTGTGACGTACTGGGTCTGTTTTGCTGATTCTTGACAGTCAGTTTCTTCTTGGCTTGGCAAGGGAGCCACCAAGGCGCCTTTGCGCTGTATTACGGTGGAGCACCTGAGGGACCAGCAGGGACGGGAAAGACCGAAAGTACAAAAGACTTGGCAAAGGCCTTGGCGATCCAGTTGCTCGGCTCTGTAAGCTCAGTGCTATGCAGGTCACAACGTGCCGCCTTCCTCACAGTTTGTGTGCCAGCGCTAGTATACATGACGGTCTCTCAAAGCATCTGTGGCAGATAGCGAGCAGCCAAGGTGTGTGGTCTTCAATTGTGACTTTGATGCATAGTCGGCAACGGTGCGATGGGTAGTGCGACTAACGCTGACGCATCCCAGCAACTCTTTTTGATGGTCATGGCCTCCATTAGCTAACAGGTGCTGTTTTCATGTTGCACACTGGCCGGCGAATAAATCTGCAGGCAGTGATTCCATGGACTACTTGCAGTTGGCCAAATTCTTCAAAGGCACCTGGGTCGGCACGAGAGTCAGGGAGCTTCTCGTGCCTGGAAAGTTCTCCAAATTTTGCCTCTGCATAGATATGTACCATCTCAAACACCGCAGCTCATTACCAGGGAAAGCGTCGGCCTCACCACACATCACCATACTGCTGTTTCCTTGAAGCTCGACAGGCCTGGCGTCAAGTGGATCATGGTGCTGCTTCGATGAGTTCAACCGGATCTCGCTCGAGGTGTTGTCGGTGGTTGCTCAGCAAATTCAGCAAATCTCCCTGGCCATCAAGCGGCGCGTCGAGAAGTTTGTCTTCGAGGAGACCGAGATCAAGTTGGTTCTTCCGTCAGCATGCAACACAAAGGTTTTGCACGTAGTTGACTTCTGTTCAAGACCCTGAGCTGGTATGCCAGTAAGTATTCTGGTACAGAATGGTGCAGAGAACCAGCTTCGGCTGAGGTGCCAACATGTGCGGTGAATATCACCATGAACCCTGGATATGCTGGCCGATCTGAGCTTCCGGACAATCTGAAGGCACTCTTCCGGCCGTGCGCTATGATGGCTCCTTGTTTTCGATCTGAGAGCACTCTGCATGGCTGCTGCAGCACTTGAACAGGTTACTTGAGGAGAGCCAACAGTGACGTTTTCCACAGCTCAGGTGCCGAACTATGCTTTGATTGCAGAGATCCGCTTGTACTCTTTCGGGTACTCCGATGCCAAGGTCATTGGCACAAAGGCCACCATGGCCTTGAAACTGTCATCAGAGCAACTGTCCCCCCAGCGCCACTACGACTTCGGCATGCGAGGTTTGAATGCTCTGCTTGTTGCGGGTGGAAATGGTAAGCGTACGTACGGCGACAAGTACCCAGAGGACGTGATCGCCTTGCGATCCTTCACGGATGTCAACCTGCCAAAGTTCACCACAGCGGACTTGCCCTTGTTCAAGGGCATCATTGGTGACTTGTTCCCGGGCGTAGAGCTCCCGCCAAGCAACGCAGGCAAGCTCCTTGCAACAATTGACATGATCGCCGAAAAGAGGGGCCTGCAACCAACAAAGCCATTCACCACCAAAGTCATTCAGCTATGGGAGACAGTGCTTGTCAGGCACGGCCTGATGACAGTTGGGATTCCTCCATGCGGGAAAACCAACGTCAAGAATGTGCTTGCAGAGACTTTGGGCGAGCTGGCAGATGGAGAAGACATGATGCCCGTAACTCAGTACGTCATGAACCCGAAATCAATTACGCAGGGCCAGCTATACGGAGAGAGCGACTTGAACACGCAAGAGTGGACAGATGGCGTGTTGGCAATCGCTGTCCGAGAGGCAATGAAGGCATTTGGTGATGGTCGCCGTCAGTGGGTTGTCCTGGACGGGCCAGTGGATGCCATTTGGATTGAGAACATGAACACAGTCCTTGACGATAACAAGAAGCTGTGCCTGAACAGTGGCGAGATCATCAAGCTCTCCACAGTGACCACGATGTTGTTCGAAGTCAGGGATTTGGACTATGCCTCGCCAGCAACGGTGTCACGCGTGGGCATCGTGTTCCTGGAGCCCGACACAGACTTGGGGTGGAAGCCGATTGTGGACTCCTGGCTGCTCACGTTGCCTGACTACATCAAAGAGGAGCACAGGGACCAGCTGTTCTCGTTGTTCAACAACTACTTTGAGGTCCTCCTTGAATGCACGCACCGGGTACGTACTCCTTTTGCAGTCTCTGATGGATGGCTTTGCTGCATGGCGACCAGGATGATGGATGCTTTGATCTCCGATCAGACCGAACAGTTCTGCAAGCCCGAAGTGAAGATCCCTGAGGGTGAGGAGCCAGATGACGACATGGACTTGGGGCAGAACTTCATGGACAGAGAGATCATGATTTTCCAGCTTTTCTGGTTCACCATGACTTGGACATGTGGTGCATGCACTGATTCAGACGGGCGCCTGTTCGTGTGTGACATTATTCGCCAGTGCATGGACAACAAGAAGGACCTGCTGCAGAAGTTCAACTTTGTGGCAGACTTTGCAAAGGTAGACATCACTGGTGGCGGTTCCATGCCATCTGCACCCCGCAAGGGCTTGCTGCATGACTCCTTCATTGACCCTGTTGACGGTGGTAAGTGGAAGCCATGGACCGAGCGTATTGAGGGCTTTGACATTCCCAAGGACACGCCATATCACACCATTGTCGTCCCAACGTCTGACACTTGCCGCAATCAGTTCCTGATCCGAACATTGATCGAGAGAGGCTACAACATTCTCATCAGCGGACCCACAGGCACGGCCAAGACAGCCTCCATCCAAGGCATGTTGCTGCAAGGTTTCAGCGCTGATGGTTACTCCACCAATGCTTTTGCTTTCTCGGCCCAGACTACAGCCAACCAGACGCAAGATGTCATCGATGGCAAGTTGGACAAGCGCAAGAAGGGCACCTTCGGACCACCACCGAACAAGAAGATGCTGGTGTTCATTGATGACTTGAACATGCCCTTCAAGGAGGAGTATGGGGCTCAGCCGCCTATCGAGATTTTGCGACAGATGTTCATTCTGACGCCATTCGGGTACGGATGGTATGACCGAAAAGGATGGGAGTTCCGCCAGCTGATTGACATCCACATGCTGGCCGCGATGTGCCCACCTGGCGGAGGCAAGAATGACATCACTGACCGTTATTCTCGATGGTTCAACTTGCTGTTTGTGACCCCCTTCGATGAGGAAAGCTTGAGCCGCATTTTCGTTACTGTGGTCAACAAGTTCATGAGCGTCATGGCACGTGATGTCCTGGCAGCAGCTTCTGGCGCCGTCACGGCTACACTGGAGGTCTACACCACGGTCCTGAAGGAATTGTTGCCAACTCCAGCCAAGTCGCACTACACTTTCAACATGCGAGACGTGTCCAAGGTCTTCCAGGGAATTTGTCAGTGTTCACGCGAATCCCTGCCAAAAGTGGATGATCTTGCCAAGTGCTGGCTGCACGAGTGCGAACGCGTCTTCAAGGACCGTCTTACCACCAAGCAGGATATGAACTGGTTCACAAATCTCTGCAAACGGAACATGGACAAACACCTCAAGCGCCCATACGACCAGGCTGTCAAGCTAGAGCCGGTTATCTTTGCAGATTTCTGTGATCCGAAGTCCAGTGCTTATGTGGAGATTCAGGACCATGAGAAACTCGCAGGGAAGGTGCAAGAGTGCCTGGACGACTACAACTCGGTTAGCAAGATTCGGATGGAGCTGGTGCTTTTCATGAGCTTCATCCAGCACATTTGCCGTGTGATCCGCGTGCTCCGTCTTCCGCTCGGCAATGCACTACTTGTCGGCGTGGGTGGCAGCGGGCGTAAAGCAACCACCACGCTAGCAACTTATGTTGCACAGTACGAGCTGTTCCAGATTGAGATGTCTAAGGGTTACGGCATGAATGAATGGCATGATGACATGAAGCGCATGTTGATGAAGAGTGGCTCCATGGACACCAACACGACGTTCTTGTTCTCCGACACGCAGATCGCCAAGGAAGCTTTCCTAGAGGAAGTGTCCTCCATCCTAAACACTGGTGAAGTGCCGAACCTCTACGCCAACGAGGACCGTCTGGAGATTACTGAGAAGTGCAGCAAAGGCGCGAATGCAGTTGGAAAGAATACGCCTGCAGAAATTTTTGGTTGGTACGTCGAGCAGTGCCGCAAGAATCTCCACATCGTGATCTGCATGTCGCCAATTGGATCCGCATTCCGAAATCGATTGCGCAGTTTCCCCAGCTTGGTGAACTGCTGTACCATCGATTGGTTCCATGAGTGGCCTGCAGATGCCCTGTCTGCTGTTGCAAACCAGTTCTTGTCCAAGGACAAAGACCTTGACTTTGATGACACTATCAGAACCAATGTCACCAAAATCATGGTGCAGGCGCAGCAGTCAGTGTTTGCATTGTCAGAGAAGTTCTTGGCAGAGGCTAAACGCCATTTCTATGTGACTCCAACATCGTACTTGGAGTTGATCAGCTCCTTCATCTCGACCCTGAAGTCCCGACGACAGATCGTGCAGAAGGCCAAGTGGCGATACGACACAGGACTCGACAAGATCAATGACGCCAAGGAGCAGGTGTCTGCCCTGCAGATTGAGCTGAATGACCTTGAGCCTGTGCTTGAGAAGGCTGCGCAAGAGACTGGCGAGATGCGAGAGAGGGTCGAGGCTCAGCAGGCTGGTGCAGTTGAGAAGAAGGCAGTGGTGGAAGAGGAAGAAGCCAAGGCCAATGCCCAAAAGGCCAACGCTGCAGCAATCAAGGCTGATTGCGAGAAGGACTTGGCAGCTGCCCTGCCAGCCTATGAAGCTGCCTTGGAGGCCCTGAGTAAACTGTCCAAGGGTGATGTGGGTGAGGTCCGAGGTATGAAGACTCCACCTGCTGGTGTGGTTTTGACCGCGCAAGCCATGTGCATTATGTTTGAGGTCAAGCCTGTGAAGGTAGCAGCAGCAGATGGCAAGGGCAAAGTGGATGACTACTGGGAGGCTGCCAAGAAGGAGCTTTTGGTCGACCCATCGCTAATCAACCGTATGGTGCACTACGATAAGGACAACATCCCTGATGCCGTCATCAACAAGGTGAAGCCTCTATATGATGATCCGGAGTTCGAGCCGGAGAAGATCAAGAAGGGCTCACTGGCGGCAATGGGTATTTGCAAGTGGGTGCGAGCAATGGTTGTGTACGACAAAGTCGCAAAAGAAGTGGGGCCCAAGCGGCAGAAGTTGGCCGGAGCCGAGGCAGAAGTCGCGGAAGCGGAAGCAACAGTTGCGGCCAAGCAGGCTGAGCTAAAGGAGGTCATGGACATGGTGGCTGATCTTGAAGCACAGCTCCATGAGGCCAATGAAAAAGCCAAGGAGCTCCAGAGAAGTCAGAAGGACTGTGCCGCCAAGTTAGCCAGAGCAGAGAAGTTGATTGATGGACTGGGAGGAGAACAGGCAAGTTGGACCTCAAAGAGTAAGAAGTTAGGCCTGGACTACAACAACCTGACGGGCGACATCTTGATTGCTTCTGGAATTCTTGCATACCTGGGAGTATTCACAAGTCAGTACCGCAAAGAAGCCTGCGATGGATGGCTGCAGAAGCTGTCTGACTTGAAAATCCCCGCCAGCAAAGAATTCAGCCTTCAGAGACTTGCCATGCTTGATGACTTTTCATGTGTTCGAGGCTTTCATTTCAGCACAGGGAAGCGTCCACTTCAGCTCTAAGACATTTCAGTGCAAAATCATACGTGTCTACAGCAGCTGCAGATGTTCGCACATCAAAGCTCTAGCTTGGGAAGCGATTGACGTCTGCAGCTGCCAACAGACATTTTCTAGGTTGGCATGGCGCGGCATGTTTGCAGAACGTTTCAGGCCTCCCATGGTGCCATGGTGTATTCACGTTGGAATGTGGTGTGCGGGGGGGGGGGGGGGNNTGGAAGGACCACGTTGTGGGACATTGTACGTAGGGAATCAAGCTTGAGGGTCTCATACATCATCTTTCCCAAAGTTCATTGCGACACTACGAGGCTGCAGGTTCCGTGACTTGAGTACTTGACTGCCAAGGAAATGCATCGGAGACGAGGTGAAGATCCGCCAGTGGGTGATTGATTATCTGCCGAATGATTCGCTGTCCATCGACAATGCCATCATTTTGGACAACTCGCGCCGTTGGCCGTTGATGATTGACCCACAGATGCAGGCCAACAAGTGGACCAAGAAGAGTAACCCTGATATCAAAGCTCTGCGCCTCAACATGCCATACATTCGGGATCTGGAGAACTGCATCCAGTTCGGTACCCCTGTGCTCATTGAGAACATCGAGGAAGCACTGGATGCCATCCTTGACCCAGTTCTGCAGAAGGCCACCTTCAAGCAGGGCACACTGACCATGGTCAGATTGGGCGACTCCACCATTGAGTGGTCCAAGGATTTCAAGTCCCCAGCCTGCGTGGCAAGTAAGCAGTTATTGGTTTGTCCTCTGGGTAGGTGTTCAAGTTGCTAGACTAGACGCTGAGTTGCTTCCTTAGCCAAGGCTATACATCACCACGAAGTTGCCCAACCCGCACTTCCCGCCTGAGATCTGCGTCGCAGTCAGCATCCTGAATTTCATGGCGACGCAGGATGGCCTCCAGGATCAGATGCTTGGAATCGTCGTGGCTGCAGAGGAGCCGGCAACAGAGGAGAAGCGCGTGAACCTAGTGATCGAGTCAGCCAAAGCAAAGGCACAGCTGAAAGACTTGGAGGACAAGATCCTTCAGCTTCTGAGCTCTTCTACTGGCAACATCTTGGATGATGAGGAGCTGATTGAGACCCTGTCGAGCTCCAAGATCATGGGAACCAAGATCGAGGAACAGGTGAAGCAGCAGGAGATTACAGCTGTGCAGATTGCGGAGGTCAGACAAGTGTACAAGCACCCTGGTGAAAACAACGTAACTGCTGCTGTTATTGTTGCCGCTGCCTGCTGCCGTGCTTGCAGGACAAGTTTGAGAGTCCCAGCCAAGGTATCATGCCCTCCGGTGTGCAGCTCTTTATTTCATCATCGGCGACCTTTGCATTGTCGACCCCATGTACCAGCAACTCGATCGAAACTCAAGCGCCCGCATTCGCTTGAGTTTGATAATGCCTGATCTGCGCTTTGCAGGTTCTCTCTGGATTGGTTCATTGCGATGTTCAACCAGTCCATCAGGCAGGTCAAAGTGTAATCATGTGCTGTAGCTGCCGCAGCTTCTAAGCCACGGGTCGCATGCCAAAGAAATTCTCCCGTGCCCGGGCACCATCTTGCAAGCTGTCCAGAAGTACTAGCTGCCAGCTGTCTTGTGGAGGCTGGCAGAACCGAAGGAAAGCAAGGACGAACGCTTCGTAGAACTCTTCCGCTCATTCATTCAGCTGCTTGGCGTGCAAGTTTTCTTGCACCCTGCATGCCTTTGCATCGCAGACCCTGTCCCCAAGCTATGCTGCCTATCAGCCTGCAAATGTCTGGTCTGACATGATGGTCAAGAGATGTCAAGAGGTTGCTTTTCGTCATGGTTTGCCGTGGCCTCTTCGAGAAAGACAAACTGTTGTATGCTGCTGCCTGGCACAACCATCCCTTGATCCAGGTAGCTGGGAGTCGACTGCAAGTTCACAAGCGCCCTAGTTTCTCTGAGGTGATGCTCTGTCTGAAATGCCAAGAGATGGAGAAAGAGCTCAAACTGAACGAAGTGATGGCTTTGCTCACAGGCACGAGACGGAGTTTGACCTTGAAGATGCCAGCAATGTCTGACTTCAGGCCTGCCCGGTGCTGCCAAGGAAGAGAAGCCAGCTGACTCAGGCCAGGATGTCGGAATACTCCAGCACGACAAGGGACAGTATAACAGCAAGTGTGCCGCAGGTTGGCTCACCGTTGTGAGCTGGAACCGTATCAACCAGCTGATGACTCTGGGTGATGTGTTCGATGGCTTCGTTGGAGAGTTCGCGGCCAACATCAAGCAGTGGCAGGATCTCAAACTTGGACTTTGCTTGGCCACATCGTTGATTTCATGTAGCCTGCCATGCGCTATGCAGGAAGTGTTCGACAGCGATGTCCCTGCTGACGTGGAGTGGCCGAACAACTTCAAACTGCTCCTGAGCTGCGCTTCATGGAATTGGCCTGATCCCACCTGTAGGAACAAGCTACTGCGTTCCGGCTCCACAGTCCAACGGCGCGTTCCATGAATATGCCAGATTTTCTAAAATGCATTGTTCAAGACACTGGAAGGGGACCTTGACGATCCTGTTGTCATCTCCATGTCTCAATGGGTCCCACATACGGCCTCAATCTTGAGAAATCCTACATAGATGTCCATTCAGCTGCGCACGCGTACTGGGAAAAGCTGACTGCTGTGCTGCAGGAAGTGCAGCCCTCTGCAGAAGGCCCTCCTCCTCTTCGCACTCCGACCTGACAGCACTGTGGGTGCCCTGATGAATGTCGTGCAGGACAGGGAACGCCTAAAGAGTGCTTTGAAACGTCTGGTCCGTCCATTGATGGGAGATGTCTTCCAGGGGGGCACGCGCCCTGTTTGATGTTCCGAACAGCGGTGATTGTTCCGCAGGAAAAGCTGGGAACCTTCTTCTTGGAGCCACCTCCGTTGGATTTGGAGGTCACGAAGTGTCATGCTTCCAGCAGCCCCCAACAGCCGTCAAACTTATGGTTGAGCACAAGGTCAGGTTTGCTTGAGGTTTCGGCAGTGACAACTTTTCCATAGTCGTTGGTTCAGCTAAACTCATCGCTTGCCAGGTTTGCTACAAGGACTCGACCCCTGCAATTCCGTGCCTTGCCCAAGAATTGGGGGTTTCCCAAGATTAGAGGCACTTTTTTGGGGTCCGTATCATAAGAATGAAAATACTTGGGGGTCTATATTGAGTCCCCGCATTTGGGAAAACTACCTATTAGGACAAGTGTGGTTCACCTGGGTTGTTTAGCAGCTGAATCCTGTGGCACCAGGCTCATCTACATCCTGGCCTCGGGCAGTGACCCCATGGCTGATATCCAGAAGCTGGCTGAAGGGTTCCTCGCCTGCATCCTGAATGCTTAGATTGCGGCAACTCGGGTCTCCACAAAGTATGGGAAGGGGACTTCAATGAGGTTGGACATGCTGGCAAAGATCAACCCCATCAGCTTGGGGCAGGGACAGGGTCCAAAGGCGGGAAGGGGGGATGAGCGTTGCTGCGAGCCATGTTGCAGCATTCGTGCAGGCAATCGCTGGCATCAACGAGGGCTCACAGTCCGGCAAGTGGGTGCCGCAACTTGTTTGGTTGCTGTTCAGCTTTCCACAGTGGGTTTGCTTTTGCTGGAGCTTGCTTACAAAGCGATGTCCACTTTTCATCGCTGACGCCACCCACGAAGCCTGCCTTACGTGAGTCAAACGGGCCTTCCACTTCTTAAGCGCTTGTACCGCTACAGTTTTCAAATGGCAGGAAACGTTCAAGTGGTGAAACGCAAGCCTACCTGCGCAACATTAGGAATCTTCAGCCGGCTTCATAGTTTGTAGGCCGCTCCTCAGTTCAAACCCGCTCGCCTGACGTGGACGCCTTCCAGGTGCTGTTGCAGAACTGCCACTTGGCGCCCAGCTTTATGCCCACCCTTGAATCCATCGCTTGGCCCTCAGACTCTGAGAGCTGCTTGGCATTTGACCAGCTTCTCTTTGGCTGAGCTTTGGTCTGATTTGCTGTCAGGTGGAGAAGTTTGACCCTGAGAGCATGAACCAGGTGCATCTTGCATGATCATGGTTCAGATGAACACTTCGCAGCTGCTCTGGAAGGAGTTCCGCCTGTGGCTGACTGCATGCCCTTCGCCTGCCTTCCCCATCTCGATTCTGCAGATGGGTGCCTTGGATGTGTATGTGAAGAGCTTGAGACAGCTGTGAATTCGCATGATGAGTATCCAGGTAGTTTTACCGGTGTCATGCATAACAGCCAAGCCAGCTTAGTGGATAAGGGCTGCCAGCAGTCGTCTTTCAATGAGGCATCAAGATGACCATCGAGCCGCCAAAGGGTCTGAAGCAGGCCTTACTGCGAGCATACCTGGGCTTCGATGAGGAGTGGCTACCTGGCAAGCATAACGGCCTCATGTCCTTGGTTGACATGCTCCTCGCATCTCTTGCTCGCAAGAAACAGCTCAGGTTCAACAGCTGTGACAAGCCAAGAGAGTTCCACAAGATGTTGCCCAGCAGCAGCTCGTTCATTGTGAAGGAGTCTAAACGTCGAATCGTTGCAGGCTCTTTGGCCTTTGCTTCTTCCATGGTCTCATTCTGGAGCGGCGTGGATTCGGACCAGCTGGGGCCCTCGGAGGTTTTAAATGTTGGGCTGCGTCAAGCCCTATATACTTCTACTCATCCCGCTCGTGGTTTCCAAATCAGGTCGGCTGGAACGTGGCTTATGGTTTCTCTGAGCCTGACCGCGAGATCTCGCGGCAGCAGCTCCGGAACTTCCTGAACGAGTTTGAGGGAGCCTCTCAGCCTCGAAAACGTTTCTCTTGGTGAACAGTCTGAAAAACCGCCTGGACTCTTCATGGATCTGACACAACTGCCATTGCGTGCGTTTGCCTTTGTCTCTGCTCCTGACTCCATGCCAACCTGTCAAGACCACAGGTGCCTTATGCCGCGCTGAACTACATGGGCTCAGAGGCCAACTACGGTGGCCGCGTGACAGACAATCAGGACATGTCAAGACTGTTGCTGAAAAACCTAGAAAGTGATGTCAAATCCGGCCCTTCTGCAGGACAGGCGGCTCATCATCACTATACTGCAGGCCAGTGTGCACATGAGACATTGGACATTATAATCGGCGTGGTTGCCCAAGGATTTCTACACACCCAAGATCCTGGATGATGAGTACAAGTTCTCGGTATCCGGTGCCTTGTATGCCTCAGCTTCTTGATGCTTGTGAAGCTTCTTACCATTGGGCCGAACATCATGCCAGTGCAGTCGCAGAGCTCCAGTCGGCTCGCAGGCACCTACTTTGCACCCAAAGCTCCAGACTCACTCAGCTTCTATCTGGAGTTCATCAGGCCGGATCATCCCCAAATCCTCAACCGCCCTCCACCAGTGCAGCAGTGCAGCCTTTCGTCAACCGTCAGGTCACTTCCAATCAGCACCACCCCCGAAGTCTTCTGGTTACACAACAACGCGAGTTTGACAGCCGTCGGCATCTCAGCATCTCAGCATTTCAGCCTCCAGTGGTTGAAGTTTCCGAACAGCTCCAGTCACTCAGCTTTGCAGGCCATCAACGAAGGGCTCTACATCACCAAGACCCCCTGCAGCAAGTAATCACAAGCACAGGGATTGCTGCAAGCTCTATGGCTTTACTTTTTGAAGGAGCTGCCTGGCGCTAATGAGCTCGTTCGGCCAGCACCTCACGAATCGCATGCGCAATCCCTGAAGAACTGTGCCAAAGCCATGCACACCAAGGAGCAAGCTCGTCGGCAGATGATGACGATGAAGGGGCCAAAGTCAAAACGCCTGAGGCCTCCCTTGATGTGTTAGTTGAGACCACATGTTGGGCTACTCCTTTCAGGAGAAGTACTCAGAGATCGCGAATGATATTCACACGCGAGTTCCCGCAACTTTGGCTTGAAGAGCACATGTTATCGGCCTTGTACCTTATGCATAGGCTTACTATCTACGGTGAGTATTTGGATAATCCATCCCAGCCAGCACCCTCCAGAAAATTCCTTTCCACACACGCCAGGAAGCTTTTGACCTGGGACATGCGCTTCGCACGTATCCCGTCCGCTACGACGAATGCCTGAACACGGTCCTTCACATGGAGCTTGGGAAGTTCAACAGGCTTTTGCTTCACCTGTGCACTTATGATTCAACTAGCATCATTATCAAAGTTCTGGCGCAGGCTGCTAAACCGCATCAAGGGCACGTGCAGCAATTTGATCAAGGCAGCGTGTTCAAAGAATTATGCAGTAGTTGCATGAGAATCGTTTTTGAACATCAGAGTGATCCGGAGGGACATGAAGTATGAAGCGGTTTGAAGCGGTACGTATGAGCCCAGGGAAATGCATTGCATTATTCTGTGCCTGTGTGTTTTTAGTGCAAGTCTCAGCTGCAAATCAAAGCCGGCACTGTGGCCCAACAAACACCCGCAATCTGCGTGCCAGGCGGTGAAAGGCTTGGTGGTCTTTTCGCCTGAGCTTGAGGCTGTGGCGGAAGGATGTGCCTTGTCCAAAGTACAGGTAATTTGATGCAACATGGCAGGTGCAGGTGTTTTTGAGTAGATGAATTTGGGCCCCCAGCAAGGTTTGACCAACGCCATCCCAAGCCCATGGATGGGAGTGTCATACCCTTCGCTGAAGCCGCGCTGAACCCAGAAGCTGAGACTGCACTGCATCCTGCTCAATTCTCACCCGAAATGAGGCTGCAGTCGTATGTGGATGCTGCTCGCAAGCAACAGTGTTTCATGTTGGCAAGGTGCATTGACACTACGTAGTACTTGAAGCTGGCAAGGACTTCCTTGGTCGGCTCAAGTTCATGTCGAATTGGATCAAGGAGCCTGCAAAAGGAAGCAGCGCAAAGCCTGCTCGCGCATTCCGCAGACAAGTGCACGGCAGGAAGGCATCCCGTACATGTTCTGGTTCTCGGCCTACTTCTTCCAGCAGGCACTGTTGGGAGCGGCATGGAGTTTCTTGCCTTGAGCGATTCCCGGCGTGATAACATACATGGCCAGGCTTTCCTAACGGGAGTGCTGCAGAACTTTGCCCGAACGGAATCTGGTTTGCACTTATCAAGGTTGGGTTTCGCTGATGTAGCTTTCCACTCTGCTGGGCGAGGACAAGATCGCCATCGATCGCTGCATCTGGAATTTCGAGGCTATTTGGCTTTGCTTAGCCCCATGAAAAGGGAAAAGGGGAGTAGGTGGCTTCCACATCCTGCCGCTTTCTTTGCATATGATTCTTGATGTAAGGTCCTGAAGGCCGCCTTCAAGCCGGAGGAATACCCCAAGAAGGCTGCCTTGAAAACCTGCCACGCCATGACATATACAACAGAGCAAAACATTTATTCAATTACCACAACACTGTTGATGTCTACGTCTACGAGGGATTTCAAATAGGTAGTTTTTCCCGCAGACACTTGTTTTCATGGGTGCTGCCTCATTGAGGGCGCCTACATCAATGGCCTCTTTATGAGCGGCGCTCGTTGGGACGACGATGCCATGTGTGTGGAGGACTCCTTCCCCAAGGCTTGGACAGAATGATAGCCTCCAGTACCATTATCAGTATTATTATTGTATTGTTATTGTTATTATTACGATGATTGTTACTACTTGTATTATCATTGTTGTTACTACTGTTTCGGTGATGTTTTTCTACTACTACTACTACTACTAGTATTAAAATTACTATTACTCTTATTATTGCTATGGACAATCAACATGCTAGGTCCTCTGGGCGGAGATGTCACCGATCTGGTTGAAGCCTGTTCGCCTCCTAGACTTCCAAGTGCAAGTCTGCCTGCATAGAGCTACGCTAAGTAGCACCATAACCATACCGCGTGTGAGGTTGAAAAGGCGCAGGATGAGCATGACTACGACAAGCTCTACAACGTTTCTGTGCCGCATTTCAGCTCGGCAAGGGCGTGTCACGATGCAGTACATGGCTTTTGCCAAGTGCAGACTCTTTCAGCGCAGGCGCCCATCTACAAGACTTCTGAGCGCAAGGGTGTGTTGTCCACAAGCCAGAAACTCTGATTGAGGGCACCTTGTCATTCCGTCCAGCTTTCACGAGACACTCGACTTGCTCTGAGGTGGTCACTCTTCCAATTTCATCATGTACCTGGCCATTCCGCATTCCTGCAATGGCGTGCACAGCAGCTGGGCTTTCTGGAGATGTATTGTAGCATATCGTTTTGAGCCTCCTGATTTTGTTTGTCAATGTTAGTTCTGGCCCTGCTTTGTTTTGCTTGCGTCCCGAGGTGAGGAGTTCTGGACAAAGCGAGGAGTTGCCCTCATCTCCCAGACAGATGATTAGGTAGCAGCTTGGTTGCCTTGACAGTTACAGCCTTCCTATTGTGAGACACGATGCCGGATGGCACATGGCACGGCGTTGAATGCTGCAGCAGGTAACAAGATTCAAGGAGTCATGGTCCGATGTGAGATGCTGTTTAACAGATGTCCATTCACATCCGCCGTGGTTCTGTTTTCCAAACTTCCTGGCATCGCTGGAAACCATGCATGCCTGCGTGTTTTCTGCAGCTTGCATGAGCTTTTCGTGGACAGATGTGCAGATGCATCTAGGCTTCCACCGATGCAAGCCATTGAGCCAACCCTCAAGCAGCCTCCTGTCCTCCAGCTCATGAAGCTGGCAAAGCATTGAGCGCCTGTGCAAGTGCGCTCAAGATGTGCCTTGCATGGAAGTTCGAATCGACAGACTGCTGCATGCGGTGTCACAAAAACGGGCTATCCGCATCTCGCCTTGCTGCAGCTCCAGACGAATGTTTGAAGCGAGCATATCATGTGCGGCAAGAATCCATTCGGCAGTGATGCCACAGAGATGCGCTTTCAGCACGAACCGTAAGGTCCGCAACAAGCTCGCTCCCTCGACCCCAGCCGCTGCTTCAGTAAGACGGGACTCATGTTTGGCAGTACCTTTATGCGAGCTATAGTCTAACTCCTCAAACGGGTTTATATGGGGATTGTATAGGGCAGCTACTATACGGTTTATTAACGGGGATAGTTTATGTCTTCATGCGTGGTGCTTTTGATGCCTAAGGCCTGAGAGAATTTTCCTGCTTGCCTTTCCCAGGAGACTGCGGGTGTAAATGAATGTGCTGTGTGACTTGATGTGAGTTTTTTGCCTATCACGTGTTTTTCCTGGCAGCTAGGAAGAAATGTAGGAATGGATTCCTACAATAGCCCCTGAGTGATGACCCACTTCCCATTCCCTACCAACCGCCAGTAAGTATCTGCCTGGGCCAGGATTGATAGTGACCCTCTCCGCAGCCTTGATTTGCAGAGACTGGAGGCAGGGCCAACCCTTGTGGATATGATGACACTGTGGGAGCTGATAAGAAAACAAGTCTCTGAGAGGGAGTCCCCCCAAAATGAGGACGATTGTCTTTTTCATGTAAGAGGGAACTTCCCGATTTAGGGAGATGCCGTCAATGTGCCTCCTACGAAGACCAGGTTGCAGAAGGCTTTGGGCTGCTGTGTCGCTGCATCGTGGCATCGTTGATGACCTCCCGAAGAATCAGGCATGGAGTGCAGAAACTGATCTGCACGGTACCTCCTGCTGGGAGTTCTGCCGTTTGGGCAGGCGAAATGCCAGATTCATGGCAGTTTTCTCAAAGCCGCCCGAAATTTTTGCTGAGTCACCTGAGGCTGGCTCCCTGGGTGATAACTTTTTGGGTGGTGACGTGTAGCAGAACCTACCTTGTAAACAGACAAAAGAAAGTATGCCATATTATGGCATCCTGAGAAGGGGATTTCAGTCCAGCCGCATACTTGCGATGGGCAGATCCGAGTCTGTATTGGCCCTTACTATTGGCCCTTACCCCCCCTTTAAATTGTTGAAGTGGTAGTTTCCCTAGATAGGGGGACTCCCTATATAGCTCACGAAATTCTATAATCCTTTTCATAGGGAAACCTCCCAAATCTGTGACCCTACAGTAAGAACCCTAAACAATGTAAAGTCTGTGCTTCTGTGAGGCCGATCTTGCATTGAAGCAGAGCTTGCTTGGCAAGCGGCTTCCCAGGGTGCCAGGCCCCCAGATAGATCTGCAGACTAGTAGGGAATATGGGAATATACTATATAGGAATGATATGAGCCATAATCTAAACTCTATTTCCGTAAATAAGCCTCATAAAACTCCCCTGTATATTCCCCTATATATCGCGTTTAAGGAGCCTAGACTGTAGCTCATATAGAGATTATATTCCCATATTCTATAGTAGTCCCTATATAACCCAAAATAGTAGTTTCCATCTTCTTCTCCATTGTTCCTATATAACCCCAATGGATATATATATATGTATATATATATATATCATACGTATACACCCTATAATCCCTATAAAACCTCTGCTAACAACCAGTAAGAAGATACAGTGGCATGGCATCCTCGGCAGGCCACCGCACCTCCAACTTGAGGTCAAAGGTGACCAGGCAACTGCCTTGAAATGAGCTAGAGTCTAAACTCCTGAAGGGGGGGAAATATATATATATATGTATATATATGTGGGAGAATGTATAGAGTTTAGGGTTTAGGGTCTAAACTCCTTACAGGTGGTTTATAGGGGATTACCTAGGGAGTATTATAGGGCTTTTTGAGGGGTATACTGGGAGTTTAGACTATGGCTCATATGGTTTGAATGGAAGAAGCTCGTCGTTTGAATTTGGGGCCAGGTGCGCATGCTGTATGCGCAAGAGGTGTGGGTGGCGGCCACCTTCCGTAAGGCGTGCCAACGATTCAGGCGCCCGGTTTGGGCCAAGTTGCTGCTTCATTCAGCTGCTTGCCGGGGCAATTGCCTAAACGAGGCAGAGGAAAATAGCCAAGCCACAAGAAGAGCCCCAGACAATCCAGATGAACATGCATGTGCTCGCTAGAATCCTTTGGAGCACGAGTGCCAGCGCAAGCCGCAACTGGCTGGTTCATGCAAAGCAGAAGTACACGGCATGATTCAGAAGAGTGCTGCTTAGTTGGATGCTACGTTACTGCCGGGAAGTTCTGAGCGCTTGCTTTGCTCAATGGTGCGTAGTTACAATTGTTCTATTGAGCATGACGAGAAAGGTAGCAATGTCAACCTGAGAGTCTTGTCACACCTTGTCGATCATTCCAGTGACGCGGCCTTGGGCACCACCTGGGCGAACAGCGCCCGGACGGCCGGCTGGATGCGCAAGCCTTAGCAAGTTGAGCTGAATTCTTATCCTCGACTCTGCAGCTCAACTTCAGGCTGCGAACCTCTGAATCGTTCCTACACGAGCTCCAGGAGAGCAGAAAAGCAGAATGAGACGATGTGTTTGCAGCCTCAAGCAGCAAGGAGATGAGTGGCAGCGAGGAGGGAGAGGCAGGACTGGTGCATTGATCCTTGCATTTTGTACAAGTTGCGGAAAGGTTGCCTTTCTGTTCCTGGATGAGCGTGGACAGCAGCTTGGCTGGCTTCAGATGCATCAGCTCGTGATGACCGCTGCTGTACTTAGGCATGCAGAGGAAGCCTTGGAGGCCTTGATTTCGTGTTCATTCTGTGAAGTCTTTCAGTTCAGGAATGCCATGGCGCCCTTGACCACCACACGGGTTATTTACGCTTCACTAGCCCTTGCCATCCCTTGCCCATGGCAGCCATATTGATGTTGTTGATGCATGTTGATGCCTCGCTGTGAATATTGCCAGGCATTGGCAAAGAGTAATGTTTCGAGACTGGTGATGCTTCCCCACACGGAAGAGCCAGGTTCTAAATGCAGGCGTTTCACTGGAGTCGGAGGTTTACTTGACACGCTTGAACGATGGATTGGCAATCGCCGGATCAGTGAGGTTCAGCGCACATGAGCAAGCGATGCTGTGTAAGCAGTTCCAAATGCGTTTAGCTCTCAGTCCGAACCGAGTGGCAAAAGGGTCAGAATTCTTGTACTTTTGAATGCTAGTGTGAGGTCGAATAAAACTTGGTGAGGTGCTGGGCTCGCGTTGAAAAAGCCATGAGATTTCAGCTCAAGCTGGCAATGCACAGACGAGGTGCAACTGGCCCCTCCCCAGAGGATTGTCATTCTGTGCCGGGCTTGGGCAGCAGCCTTCATGGCTGCCTAGCCTTTGTTGCAGCCAGTCAATTTGTGTGCCTGCGAACGAGGAACTATCTCCTTGACAGATTTTGGCCACAGACCCTGAGTAGCAAAGACGACTTGGGGGATGTGGTTTCCAGCATTGGCCCAAAGCTGGCCGGAGAAAAGGGTTTGAACAAGCGTAGTTGATGCAGATGGGTCCAGATGTGTGAGGGCCCGCCGCGGGCATGATATGTAGCTGCAGGAGCAACGCGAGAGAAAGGAGGAGGAGCAGCGGCGCTTGAGGGAGGAGGACTGAGAAGCAGGAAACGAGTTTCACACACATCAAGACTAGCAGTTCCCCTCTGGCAGTTCCCGTGCCAAGCCTGCTGTAAGGAGTTGATGGAGGAGCGACGCGTGGCAAGAGAGCTTCGTGAAATCGAGGACCATGCAAAAGACAAGCTGAGCTCTTGGAGTGTTGCGTTGCTCAAACGCTTGCGAGGAGCGACACCGGCGAGAACAGGCCGCTCAAGCAAAGTCACGGGAGGATGTAGTCAAAGTTGTGAAGTTTGTGTTCGGGAGCTCAACAAACTTCGTTATTGCAACACTTCTCCCAAATAAGTTCAAGCACGGCAGGCGGCCTTAGCCGCCAAAGCAGCTGCAGCGGCTCCCGAGGCTGCAAAGGCCTTGCATACTACAGCACCAGCGGTCTAGGGTTTAGGTAACACTGTAAGGAGGCCCAACCCCCAAAGTGGAGAATCACATGGACAATCCAGTGGACTGTTAAACGGAAATTCTAGTATTTCAAGGAGGCCCAGGCCCCAGAGTGGAGAATCACATTGACATGGAAAGTGGGTTTGTATAGAGCAGCTGCACTTGTGGCCAAGCACAAAATGGTAGGTTATCAAAATTGCCCCTATAGGTAGGCACCCCTCTGTTATCCTCTCTTAATATTCCGATGACCTACGGTCCTTAGGAGCACCTTTATTCTAATCGTAGGTGATAGGCCGCTAGGGGCTGCCTCCCTGCCGTGGCAGGGTGGAAGCATCCAGTTCAGCAATCGTTGAAGAGAGACCTTAGTTTCTGAAAATAATATGGTATCCTAGGGGACCCGGGAGATGCAGGGGAGATATTAGAGGATTCCTCTTCAGAGTTCTTCAGAGTTATGTTAAGTTATGTAGGGTACACGTAGACCATTTTGCGAACCTTCGACGCCAACCATGCAATTTAGGCCCTTTCGACCCCAGGGCCTGAGGACACAACAACCACGCGTCATGACGGCCACTGGTAAGAGGGTAAGGCATGGTAGTCAGCCAGAACGCCCCCTAAGTTGTCAGTTTAAGAAAACCGCAGGGGTTCCAGCGTGCGCATTTCTTGGTTCTTGTCTAAATTTAAGAAGGTCGGCTGCTCGGCAAACGAATTGAAACACGGAGAACATGCGAACACGGTCATAAGAACCCGCCCGAAATGGTATCTTGACCAGCATGCTAGTCAGCCGTTGTCATGACTTGGTCCTATCTCCGTGAACATGTCCAGACAAGGTTCCCACGTCGTACGTAGTGTTGGTGGCCAGGTGCCTGGACAGAGAGCTGCTGGGCAGCTCGGCAAAACGAGTGCTCTTGTTGATTTTGCTACGAACTCAAACTTACCAATTCCTCTGCTGATTCGTGTTTTTGCTGCTGTTACTATAAATGTCATCTATGGCATTCTATGGCCTCCTGTGGCTTTCTTCCTAGGACTGTAGCAGCCAGTTCGTCAGCTGAGCAGGGTTTTTTGGAGTATGTAAGGGCTGTGATGGAAGTGCTTCCGCAAGAGTGCTCGCGTAGCCTCTTGCCTGCAGGGCGTAGCTGTGGTGTAGTTTCGCGTAGGCACGTATAATAGTCTTGTCCCACGTAGTCTGCGTAGTTGGCTGAGCAAGAAGAGGTTCGTGCTGCATAGAATTGTCAATAGCACAGGAATGCTGCATAGTCCGCGTAGGCAGCACGATAGCAAGAGTGTGTTCGCGGAGTCTGTTCTGCTGGTAAAGCAGCAATCCACGTAGTTCGTATAGGCAGATTATCTTAGTACAAAGACTTTAACCTTGAAAAGAACAATGCTCAGCTGTGAGAGACGTGCAGGCATGGACAGGCCCGGCGTCGACGAAGCAAGGCCTGTTTTCTAAACTTCTAAATGGTATCCTCAGCTCCCCCAACTTTTACGTACTGTATCTACTATCCTTCACATTCAATACTATATTCCCCTTACATGGCCCCTGCAGTAATCAATTCCTGTGTGGTTCATGCTGGCTGCAGGACCCAGCTGGTCAGGACTTTTCGCCTTCACGCAGGGCCCTCAGCATGTTGGTGTGGGGTTGTGTGTTGAGGCATTTTCGAGAGATCGTGTCTCGATGTATACACATATGCGAGGTAGTGCGTGAGGGGAGTCGGGTACAAGCCGAAACTGAATCAAGGTGGAGGTGGGACCTACGACGGCACTGCAGGCGTTGGACGGCGTTGGATGCGTTTGCTGGCCGTGATGTTTTCGTTATGCCGCTTAGCATGGGAAGCCTCTGATCAGCTGCCATGACCAAATCAAATTCCAAGCGACCTGTATGAAGCTGGCCTACACGAGAGGATTTTACGGGGTTTTGATGAGTGCCCGAGTCAGCAGCGTCTCTCTACCAGGCACTTGGGTTGATGGAGAGGATCGTCGACCGCGACGAAGACGAAGGAGAAGGGACGTTGATAGCACTACCGGCAGGGCTCTTAGTTGGCTGGATTCATCGCCCCAATCCTTCCTCAGATCCCCAACTGGCAACGGAAGTCAAGCTTAGAAGTCAAGAAGAGGGGTCAAACTAAGCGATCAGGGAGCAAAGCGGTCAGAGATGTTGGGCAATCTGGTTCGCAGCATCCCTGACATAGATGCACTCTCGTTCACCTTGAACATCATCACTAGCAGATCAAACCATACCTTCCGAAGTGAAAAGAAGCACAGCGCAAGCAACCAACAAAAACAAGCCATCCGAGACCTCATTGCTTCTGCTTCGTTGTTTCGCGACCCGATGCAGAATCAGCAGCCCACACCTCCAACCCATCACAGAGCTGTGCATGTTTCGGACCACACGAGAGAGCTGGTGCTGACAAAAAGTTGGTCACGCAGGGCTACATCTTGAAAGCGACACGGCCTGCTCGAGGCGGTGGCCAAGATGGATCTTGGCGTGCTTCCGAGAGGGACAAGAGGCGACACTTGCAACCCACACTCTTTGCACTTTACGAAGCTCTAAGAGATCTGCCGCCAGAAGCGAGGGCGTGACATGCTCAACGCCTGGAGGACGTGGCGTGACGAAAACTACTCCAGCCTGAGCTTGCTGCCAGACACGACCTCGGAATCTGCAGATTTTTCCATCGCTTCGATGAATGCTGAATCGAAGCTCGCCTCTCTGATGCGGGCAACGTGGCCATGGTGGCCATGGTTGTGAATTCTGCCAAGGATGGCAGGGACACCTCATCACCGGTTCCCTGGTTGACGGCTAGCCCTCAGGCCCTTGTCTTGGACCAGTCAAGAGCTTTTGCAGGATATCTTTGCGCAGGAAAATGGTGATGGTCCAGATGGACTCAGCACTGTTCTGGACGGAACCTTTCGCAAAGGGTCCTGAACAAGAGTATGACGATGTGGTTCAATGATGCCTCAGGAGACTGGGGAGATGAAACGGGCGGAGGCAAGCTTCGAGAAACTGCCACGTGTCTGCCAAGCCAGTCAAAGCTCCAGGCACGCCCAGCTCGTGGACGGCGACGGCGAGTGCAGTGCTCAGTGCTCACTGGTTTCCCGTGCTTTCGCAGCAAATACCCTAAAGCCTTGCCTACTTGTCATGTGCATATTAGGAGCGCCGAGAATTCAGAGAACGCGGGGACAGCTATGATGAGAACGACACCTGGGTCGCTGCAGCTGAATTGTTCATGCAGAAGCTTTCACCGAGTGTGGCCAGGAGAGTGCCCAGAATCGCAAAAGCCAGGATGGAACTCATGCGCTCATGCTGAAAGTTGGAATCATCGATGCCGCAATCATGCAGGATGACATGCATCCTCAGCGCGTGCCGGTGGCTGATGGGGCGAACTGGACGAGGCAGTGTAGGGTGAGTGTGGTGCCGCTTAATTCAAGATCAGGCACGTTCATGGCCATAGTGACAGATGTTTTCTAAGCCTCCGGCTGCACAAACGAGTTGTTGAGCAGACGTGCGACCCAATGACGGCAGCAGCAAACCAACTATGATCAAAGTGACTTTGGGAGCATTCACCAAGCAGCCACAGTGTTGTATGTTCAGGGATCAAGATGACGAACAACGTCGTCGCCGAGGCACCATCTGCTTGCCTTGGAGCTAACTCAGATGCTCATGACTACTCAGGAAAAGCGCGGCATTTGTTGTTGTGTAGTAGACAGCATACATCGCAGAGCACGATTAGAATAAGCACTCTCAGGCATGAGGCCTTTGGCATCCCTCGAAACATGATTGCAAATTCGGGTATCGTTCAGATGGAGCTTGAGAGGAATCATGAGACCTCTCTGCAGGGCAGGGCTTGCAGCTAAGCAAAATCTGGACCTTGCCACGGACGCAGGCCGAGCTCAACCTCCATTAGCACCGCGGCGTGGGGAGCAGATGGGCTCCCTGGAAGAGGCTTCCAACCCATTCCAGCTGTGTGGACTCTCGCAGCTGCGTGCATTCTGAGGTTCCATCCCTGCCCGCACAAACTCTTGAGAAAGACAGGCCATCTAGGCCAAGCTTCAGAAGCACTCAGGGAAGTTCTATTGCTCGCGAGGTCTCCGCAGCGGCCTCCCGCACCAGTGATGCTCGATCCTGATGAAGCTTGCTATGCTTGCTGTACCTCTTCAAGACCTTCAGCAATGGATGTACTCAGGTCAGAGGCTGAGTTGCGGCAGATCCGCTCCCTTGTTCGCGCACGGGGCTCAGAAGCTATCACTGCAGCCCACAGAGTGACAATGCTGCTCAAGTTTGTTGGTTTCAGCTTCAGATGCAGAATCTGCATGCTGAATACTGAATGCAGGTTTGCGAACAGCTTCTGCGAGAAAGAGCAGAAGAGAAAGAGAGGGAGCCGCAAGCTCATTCTGATGATACTGTGACGTGGTGCTTCTTTATTGGACCAGAGATGTTGCCTTCAACCCGCCCAGGGCTGAACGCGCACGGGCGAAAGGATCGCCGAAGCATTCGCTGTCTCCAGCTGCTCGTAAGACTGACAGGCAAGCATGCGACATGATGAGTTCCAGAGTGTGGGCATACGCAACAGGTGTGCTCTCTTTCAATGCGTAAATAGTAGTTTCCATTTTTCCGTCATCCAGTACCCTTGGAGCCTCACAGGACTGCTGCTCAAACAAAGACTGCAGGCTGTCTCCGTCGAGACATGGCGCCAGCAAGCAGGACGTGAGTGAGGCGCAGCACAGCAAAGTGCTTGAAGCCAAGCCCTCCATTGTATGGGGTTATAGGGGTTATATAGGGTTATATAGCAGTGTCTTCATCTTTTTTGAGGAGGGATTCCCCTTGGATACAATCCCATCAATCTAATCTGGACATATCTGGACAGTTCTGGACCTTCCAACTTAACTGGTAACTCGTCGATTCTATCTTCCTAGGCCTCATCTTGAAAAGCTTTGAGTATCCAAAGCTTTGCTTATGCCTGGCGAGTCATGTTGATTTTTTGTAACAACTGCAGCGTTTCTCAAAGCTGAATCAGTCTCATGGCCTAGAGTCTCTGCGAAAACATGGACAAAGGTCAGATCCTCAACTTCCCTGACAGTCTGCATATTACCACTGGGACAGGCCGCAGATCTGTCACATGCAGCCAAGGCTACGATGTCTACGAGTACAGTCGCAAAGGCGATTTGGAGAGCCTGCGCGAGGCGTAGCTGCACAGAGCTTCAAGAAAAGGCAGAAGTTTACCTGATTGCAGGACTCGCGCAGCAAAAATCTTATTATAAATCTTGACATTTCAATTTCAACAGACATCCTGTTCTGGAGGCTCTAGATGGCGGCAGCAAGCCGGATGAGTACATGGCCTACGATGGATCGACAGCGTTGGTGATGGCTGCCCGCACCTCAAACGCTGCTCAAAGTGCCTGCTCGACTTAAGAGCAAGCAGGCAAGAAGCGGGCACAGCCATATCGTCAAGGAGCTGCTAGCACGAGGTGGTGATCCGCAGGTGGGCAGCGGCTTCAGACCTTTGCTCGCAAAAGCGATTTGAATGCTTGGCAGGTGCGAACAGAGGATGGTTCCACTTTGCTGCACCACGCTGCCAGCGGGAATAGTCCAGAGGCACAAGAGCTGATGCCAGATACGGTCTGCACTTCAGCAGTACTCGTAGGCTTCGTTTCGTCAGGCAATCCATCTTCTTATTGAGAAGCGGATTGTCGTGGCCCGAGACGGCAACTAACTCTGGACCCTTCAACCCTTTTGGACAGACTCAGGACCCAAATGCTCTGAACGAAGATGGTGTGGCTCCACTCATCCTGGCAGCTCACTACGGCCATCTATCTTGCGTCAGTGCTCTCTGCAATGGTGGCGCAGATGTCAACTTGTCAGCAGAGGTAGGGCAAGAGAATCTGCGATGTTCTACAGCCATTCTGCCTCTGAACTCTGTTCCTTCATCTATCAATCGTTGTGGAAGCGTCCTGTTGGCGATCAGGGCTGGGGCACGCCCCTAGACGGTGCAGATGGGGAAGTTGCAAAGTTCTTGGAGAGCAAGGGTGCCAAGCGCTCGGCTGGAGGCCAGCAATGCATTGATGCGTGTTAGTGTCCAATGTTTCGTGATGAAGCAGGTGTTGACCAACCACTGGCGGCGGCTCATGAGCGTTTCTCCTATGGTGCCTTGCCCAAGAATGCGGTGCCCCGGAGTGCCGGGGCGAACAGTGTAGTCTTGGCATAGCTTCATGCTACAGCTCGTCTATGGATGTGCTAGTAGATCCGTTGCTTTCTTTCCCGAGCCCAACCACATCGCGAGATCCATGGCAGCGGTCCTTGTCTTCAGTTCATACCAGGAGACTGCAAAGGCTTGGCCTAGACCCTGTAGCGCTCTAAAGTTGGTAGACCGCCCAGTCAGCCCACCGCGCGAAGTTTGTTCTTCCAGTGCGTCTTCCGCTGTCCTCCGTCTTTATATGTTGCCGTGGCTTCTCCCTGTTTACACGGTTTCGATGTTCTTCTACTTGTATCGTCTCATGAACTCATATCTTGTACGCTCCCTTCACGTGCCTTGGCCTTGGCATCCCCTCCAACTTTCCCTGCCCGACTCTCTGAGGCCTGCATCCCGCCCCGCCCACTGGTACAAGTTGTGTTCTATTGTGTTGGTGCTGGGACCTTGTGTTCATCACGGCAGAATAGAATGACAGCACATCAGTGTTCTGACGCTAGAGCCAGCCTACAGGAGCTGAAAGAACTGGAGAATCGAACGCTATAACCAAAAGCAAGACGCCTGTGAGTAACCGCAACATCGCGTAACTGAGCATCATCGGTTGCCTTCTGTGCTTCGACAAAGGTTGCTTCGAGACGGGTGAGAACCCCCATGCTACCCCTGTACTCGCTCCCGGTGGCGTCTTGGCAATGAACCTGGGGCAACGATCACTGTGACAGCGGCCAGCTTCAGCGAATCTGCCTAGGTAAAAGTGAAGCCAAAGGCAGGAAACCCAAGGCCGAAGCCCTGCTTCATAGCAACCTTGCCGCCTGGGTTGCAATGCTTCAGGTCGGAGATTGCGTCCGCCTTGGGTTTGCAAAGCCGTCCGGCTTGCTGAAGGAAGGAGATGTAGGAGTAGTCGTGGAGCCCTCAAAGAAAAGTTGCCGCAAGCAGCAACAGGACACCGATTTTGCCCAGCTTAGGTGGCTGATGATGGCTCGGATTGTGTGCCGCTCAAGGTCAGTTTTGGAGAGCGATACGATTACTACGATGCCTGTCCAAGAGGATAGTAACCACCTTTCATGCGCAAACTGCTTTGTCGAATATGGTCAAACAAGCACTCAATGAGAAAGGGACTTAGGGTTTGCCTCCAAGGAATACGCTGATCTGGTTGTGTGTGAGCCGGCGGAAGAGCTTCCGCCCGACTCAGCTCACGCGACAGCTGATGGGACGAAGAGATTCCTTGCTACCCGGCATAAGAGGCCCTCTTGCAGAGGCTTACGCTTGCAGCTTCAGGTCCGTCTCATTACGCCGTATATCAAGTCATACTCATCTGGTCCAAGGTACGAAAAAAGCTGGAAATGCATCTTGCATGCAAATGGTCTGGCAGAGAGGGATTCGGCTTCTTGTGATTGTTATGCAGAATGGGTCTCAAGGAGTAATGTGCGAGCGCTGGGGCTCACCGGCCTCCACATCTCTCCCGTTGGCTTTGGCTGCCACCGACTTGAGGATGTCAACCTGAGAGACTTCCTGAGAGTCCCAAAAAGAGCCATGCCAAAACGATTTCATCCCTTGGCCGGAGGATGTAGATGCTCACAAGGCAGCATTGGAGCTGGCAGTCTCTCTCGGATGCAACTTTGCCCCTCGCCTGCAGCTCGCGCAACCGTCGTCGGCCAACTCAACGGCAACTGGCAAAGGTGGATCTGGCTCCCAACTATACCGACGGTGTTGCTGAAGAGGTTGGGCTTCATTCTTGTCCGTCCCTTGCCGTTGCAACTCTGCGCAGGTGGCCGGCGAGATTTTGCAGAAAATGCTGCAAAGCCGCAAGGACCGGCATGTGAACACTGGGTCGCTGACTGTGCACTGCTACAGGAATTTCTCTTCTCTCGCCAAATTTGTCGCAGGTGCGCCGTGATGAGATCATTGTGGCGACAAAGGCCACTTGCAAGTGCTTGCGCCTGCTGGTTGAACGTCACTGATGGCTGATGTAAGGAGGACTTGATACTAGGTACGATTTGCACAAAGCCTGTGAAGCTTCGTGTGTAGGGTGGTGTATCGGAGTACCACTTTGGCGGCAAGTGATTCCAAGATGTGCATGGAGACTTGGCAACCAACAAAGCAAACACGCTGCAGGCTGCCACAGCCACAAATGAGCGAGCTGTTAGCTAGTCATCTAACCCTGCTTGTAGCTAACAAAGAGGTTCTACCTAGAACGCCTTACACTTCAAGTTGCCTTGTGCGAGGTGATAAACAGCCTCAAGACCTTCGCGGGAGTACTGTCACTGCATGGTTGCAGGTTGGCAACGTTTTGGGCAAGCAGCTGGCCTTTGCCGAAGGAGTTCCCAACATGACGAAGATCAACGACAGCAACTTGGCCGCCTTTGGCATTTGCTCTTCTCCGGTCTGCAAAGGCAGCTGCCGTATTCCCATGGCAAGCATGGCACCGTGAGGTCTTTTCCACTGCATTTCCCCTGCTTGGATAGAACAGGCACGGCATGCTTGAAGAGAGTATTGTCGTGCCTTCAAAAGTATTTGTGGCTTGCAAGGAGTTGACTCGAAGCTTGAATCGCTTGCAGCGCCTCAGCAACAGAAACATTCTTGTCCAAAGCAACTGTAAAGACAGGAAGGTCTCCTTCCTTGTTGCGTGGCAATTTGCTCATACTCAGGCTCTCCTGTATAGACTGCTTGCTCCTTCACTGCCCGGAGTACGAGACGAAAGCAGCTGGCGTCAGTATGGCGGATGTCTACAACAGGATGCGTGTCCTCGCCGCATCAAAGAATGCCTGCTTCAGTGGTAGCGGAAAACTGCATGTTGTAAGGATTTTTTTGTCGGGTTGGTACACAAGGGGCGGCCTTCGAGTACCTGGAAACAGAAGTTGCGCGAGGGCGCATCGCTGCTTGGATAGAAGCCTGCCGTACAAGTTGGTGAGTGAGCCCAAGCTTGTGTCATTGGGATAAAATCTTGCCTGGTTGAAACTTACTGCCCCATTGTGTCACTGTGGGCTCAAGCACGTGCAGCTAATTAGTAGTGTTCAGACCGCGGAATGGAGCATCGGCAGTCGTTGAAAGAAAAGGGCCGGAAGATCAAAGCATCATTGCTTTCGAAGTTGCCCAAGAAGCAGGCTGCATCGAGCAGCACCTCTGTGAGCGACCCTGGGCGCACACCAGCAGCAAGCCATGCTGCGTGCGAGCAGTCTGACGGTGGTATGGAAGTCGCTGACCCTGTCTCCGGGGATCTGGCGGGCTCAGCCGCACGCCGCTCTTCCGACACTGAAGCAACCACCAGCGACCAGTCAGCTCCTGTTGATCCCAGACTTGCCGCAGCTATCCTTGTTGTTGCTGTGCTAGCGCTATGGAGGCCCTCCACTAGTTTCTTCCTGCTTTCTGTTGCCATAAATCTGGCACTGGGTGCTGCACTCATTCTACAAGGATGCTATGCAATTCGGCAGCGTGACTTGCTCAGCAAGTACCTGCAGCAAACCTCAGAGGCTTCGGAAGCCAATGAGGGCCAGGAGGCAGAGGTAGACGTAACATCGACATGTGGTTTGCAACAATTATTGGAGCCCGGCTGGAAGCACATGCGAGATGTCATCGGTCAGCGTGAGCTCAAAGGCATCCTGACTCACATCGAGCTCGGCGACAAGTCACCGCAAGTGACATTTGTTCGTTCAGTGAAGTCACCGTGCGAAGGTGTGGTGTGCTTTGATGTGGGCCTGCAGCTGCTAGCTTCCTCCACTTGCCCGCTGGTGCAGCTAGAAGTCCCGGTCCCTGGCTATTCGGACCCCTGGATCTTTCAGATTCAGCTGCTTCAGCTGGATTTGACAGTGCAACTCTATTTCTGGAGTGTTCCGCCTGAAGGTCGCGGCAGCGGCAGGTCCTATTCTTTGATTGAGGCAGCTTTGAGCCCCGACCCACCAAAGCCGCCCATGGTCTCGGTCGCGCTCAAGGCAGTTTCAACATCGAAGGTGCTGGAACAGGTTCTTTACAGGTGCGAGCATGTTGCCTCCGCTGTAATTTGCTCCCACGTGCTTCCTCGGTTCACAGGCTTCGATCAGCGAGTCATTCTGGAGGAAGGTCGCGCTCGACAAGCCGACAGAGACAGCATGGCCTGGCAACAACAGGCGCGACGTGCTGGTTGGCAGCCCCGCGCCGAAGCTGTCGTGGAGTCCGTGAGGAGCTCATTTTTCAATGGCACTGCCTTTGAGATTGAAAATATATTATTGATTAATACAATAGTAATATTGAAAATAATATTCAATTCATATTCATATTATTAATAAGTGTTAAGCAGAGTTGGAGATGTTGGAGATGTTGGTGGTGCTTGTGCTGTGGCTTGACGAAGCAGCTGAGGCTGTAAGCGAGATGTTCCGAGAAGCAGGAGGCTTCGCCTATGAAGCTGTTGCAAGCACCGCTGCCAGTGCAGCAGCTGGGGCCATGCAGACCTTGGAGAGCCCTGCCGAGGCTGCCTGTATGCAAGCATCGTTTAAGGAACAATTATACAGATTGTTTCATGAAGGCAGTTGGAGCAAGAATGTGCCTTTAATCCGTATCATTTTCGCAGATTATTGTTTAAGAAGATGCTCAGCTGATCTTTGGTTTGAGGCAGCGAGCGCAGCTGTGGGTGCAGCTTGGTCTGCGGCTGGCGGGGCGGCCCGAATGCTAAAAACATCCTTCGGGATCGCAAACTAAGCAACCGGTGCCAACAACTTGTGTTGCCATGTGTTCCTCCACAGCGAGATCAAGCTCTACTACAGTGTACGAGGAATCCCCATGCAGTGCCATGCATTCTGCAACAGTGCTGTGGCAAGCCGAGCAGCAGTGCCATCAAAAGGCACGCAGGCAGCTGAAGGAGCACAAGTTTGGCAGCCAAAAGCATGGTACAGTCGTCGAACACTACCTGGTCCTTACATGGAGATTTGGGAGCACGTGCGCGCTTTGACCAAAACAGTGATCAGATCACGGATCCCCGGGACTGAGTCCCGCACCATACAGGTGCTACTTTTGCGCGGCATTTGCAAAGCAGATGACCTTGCGCCATGTCTTTCATTTTGGAGGATGGCAGAGAAGGCTGGCCAGAAATGAGTCACCACAAATTTCTAGTATAGCCCTGGACAAATGCGGTCAGCAGTTTGAAGGCCCAAAGCCTGAAAAATCAGGTTTGCTACGGTGTTTCCGCCGCCTTCATGCCGTTAAGACCCACAGATGCAGAACATCTGGACTTGTCCAAGGTGCCAGCCTCAGCACGGCAAAACCACATGCTACTTAGCTAACACATGCTACTTAACATGTATTCCTCTGATCTCAGGTGATGCTGCAGCTTCCAGCCAATCACCATTTCCGTGTCCTTCAGTTCCCCTTGAACTTTGCAGAGGCGTGTTGAAGTAGGTACAGCTAACTTAGCACTTTGTCATGAATCACATGCTGGAACGACACCATGCCTTTGCGAGGCAGAGGCCATGTGGGTAGGCTGGGCCACAGGCACTTGACGCATTGAGGACAGGCTTGGCTTTCTCGCCAGGCCACGTACCCCGCAATCCCGATGGATCAGCGGTGAATTCAAACTCAGCGGTTGAAGCGCCTAATCTCTTCGAGGCCCAACATGTATCACAGCTTGCTGAACCCTATCTCAAGAACATGTTTTGGGCCAGGCGGCGAAGTCACATGGCCTGGCCACGCCACCTGCTCGAATTTGCTTAATTCATTGTTACCAGCAAAAGACACCAGATGACCAATCCGAGGTTGATCAACCGTCCTTTGGACGGCATCTACAAGGTCGCACCTGCTCGTAGATTTCAAACGCTTTGACGCAACACTACAGTATACAAATAGATGGAGGAAGCTCACGGAGTTCTGCGTTTCTCGTCTCTGGACTGCGACGTCCGGTCATACTCGGAGCTGCAGCTTGACAACTGCCACCAAGCGGCACAGGAAAGCCTCCTTTGAGGGTTCTCTAAGCTACGTTTCGGCTTCCATTTCACTACCCCAAATCCTAAACCCTAAGCGAAATAGGTGTGCCCATTTCGGTCTACATTATCGTTCCCATTTGATTCTCCATAATCCCGAATCAAAGCCTCAGCCCTTTTGGCTCTGAGGCGATGCCCTGGAGCAGAAGATAACCACCATGTGCGCTTTGGCCACATTATGCCCTGGATGGGGCGTTGGTTGCAGTTCTTTGCGCTCAGCTGAGGCAAACTTAGCGAGCCGCCTTTCAATGCGGACGATGGTGCTGCAGGACAGCTTGCCGCAAAAACTGTGAAGGTCCTTGCCGGTTTGCAAAGCGATGCTCGGCTCGATAGCAGCAAAACCCAGACAATCTATTGAGCAAGCTTCTGAGCAATTCGCTGCCCAGCCTTGTTGACCGAATGCAGCCTAGGTCGATTGTGTGCTCCTTGGCATGCGACAACCGGAATATGTCGTGGGCACTCTACCGCTCCTCTTCGGAACGCCCTCTGTCAGCCCACAGGCGGGAACATGTTGGGACCGGTGCAGGCATGGCCATTGGGCAAAATCCGAACGTTACTTCTCCCCCAGGCTGCGCTCTCCACCTTCCGCGCTGTCCACAACACTGTCTTGACCTTAGCCATCAACGTGCTAAATATGAGTGCTTGCCTTCCACTCCCCAAGATCTGCATGTGGTATGCCACAGCGATCCATGAATCTGATCATGGCACCTCCAAACACTGGCGGCTGCCTGTCAGAGCATCCCGGTCTGCAATTGGAGCTTGAGCGACTGAAAGAAAAGGCTGTATTCAAAGCAACGTCAAATCTGTCACCTTGAGCTGGGCTGCCTGGCTTTGAACTGACATTAAGGAGTAAGTCTTGACTTGATCAATTACCACATGTCAACTTTACTTCGGATCTTCTGTTTGGCACCGGTAGGTAGGACCCCCTGCAGAGATGATGGGTGATGTACTTTAACTTGCAAGCTAAGGAGCACAAATGAATCTCATGCAGGCTTTAGATAAGTGAACAGCTGTAGCGCAGAGTGTGGAAGCCGAGGAAGGGTATGCCCAGGGAGCGCAGTCTTGAGCCTGATCCACGCTGCGAAAGGTGCATCAAATCACATGTCTGATCGTTTTCGCAGCATAAAGCTGCCATTTTTCAGCCTCCTCATGGGCACTGTAGAGCAAAGACATACACATGTCCCAATCTTTTAACTGCAGGTCCGTGCAGCCAGAGCTTCTAGCCGTAGACAGCGATGGCCTGCTTAGCAAGAAGCCACGTGGAGGAATGTACAGTGCATGCATGCGCAGAGGGCAAAATCTGCAGCGACAATAGCCAATGCGCAGGTTTTAAAAAGTTCCCGATTCAAGGGCAGCTGCCCAAAGTCTGCCGTGAGCAGGAACCTCCACGGTTGACAAGTGGAGCTGCCTTGGCCAGCGCGCGAAGCCAGGCTGGGGCCGGTTATGGTGCTGCACGCATGTAGTTGAAATTGCAGCTGACGCAGGCCACGAAGTACTCACACACTTCTGGAATTGGTGGAAGTGCTAATCCTCCTGCAGAAGGAGGCAATGTCACCTGGCATGGTCTGCGCATTTGTTGCAGAGTAATAGCAAGTAAGCATCTAATGTCTGGATCAGAAGAGTCAATGGGCAAGACTCAATGCCTACAAAATATATATCGTGAGTTGCAAAGACTGTCATAGGTGGTACGTCAGTCAGCGGCGCATCTGACCTAGCCTCAGTTACTGGCAGGTCAGTCAGCAGAGGGCCTGCTAAGACGCCCTGCGTCAATGCTTTTTCAGACAGGACATGCACAACTGGGGTGCCCGGGAAGAGCCATCAGTCAATGCAGGGCCACAAGGCACGCAGGAGGGTTGTGTCATGCTCCCTTCCAGGAAGTTAGCATTGTTAGGTACAACAGCCAGTCTTACAATCAACAGTTTGATCAGTAGATCAGAGTATTAAGCATTATACGCTAATTCCGTTAAATTAATACGGGGTCCCCAGTGTACTATAGTCCTCATTATAGGGGCCCCCTCCAAATCCTCTAATTTTGGGAACCCCCCCTTTGAGCTGATCCCTCAACCCTGAAAGGCGATCCCAAGGAGTGGTCCTCGGATGCCTTGATGGAACTGATGCATGGGCACTCCAGGCGCGGTGTTTGCTTCCTTGCAACGTTGTTGAAATTCTGACCATGGCCCCTGAGGATGGTGGGCATGGATGCAAGGCTTCCTGGTATGGACATTCCGGAGGCAGATCAGCTGGGTAGTGTATCCGATCAAGGTTCAGGTCTTTGAGCTCTAGACAAGAGGTCCAACCCTTCTACCATGCTAAGATTGACAGAATGGCCGGGCATCGTGAAGCAAACAGAAAGACAAGGAGAGGCAACAGCCTCTCCTGGTTGATCGCAGTCGGCTGTATGACACATTTTGATTCAACTCAAGCTTCAATCGCATCTGAAGCCAAGAGATCCAAAGACATGTCAACTTTGTGAGTGGTGCAGGGGCAGGCTATTTATGAAGCCATGCCAGCTGCCAGCGGCTCAGTCGTGCAAGTGATTTGGAGCCTTCAGCAGAGCCAACCAGCCCAGATGAGACATCACGCGCGGGAGAGACTAACTGCGGCCTTCACAGTGGAAAGTTTTGAGCCATGTCAAGGTGGCATCTTCCGTAGCGCCTCTGCCCAGCAGGGATGGAAACCCTGCCGGCTGCAATCCCAGATGTTTTGGGCTAGGAGCCTTCAAGCTCAGGGTGCTTGTGGCTCAGGTCAAAGCAGGATGCCGCCCTTGGCCTCCTTAGCGACCCAGCTTAGATCAGCTGCTGCCCCAAGTCTGTCTTGGAAGCCAGCTTCCATGGAAACCTAGGCAGAGAGCCCCTTCACCTCGCCAGCTCGAGGAGTTGCACTGAGGTATGGTGTGCAGAGTGTGCTTTGGGACCTTCTCAAGATTACCGTTTCTGGAATCCTTCATGGGCATCCCCTGCATCCCGCAATCCCCATAAACTGTGAAGGACCCAACCTTTTTTGAAAGAATGGGAGCCTTCTTCCTCGTAGATGATTTTTGGCCTGGAAGGCGTTCCTCCAGGCGAGAGTCGCGAGGAGGTGGGGGCTTTTCCCCGTCCTGGTTTGGAGCAACTTTCTGCGTGTTCTAGGCCTTGGAGATCCTAACAGCGTGTTCAGAAGCAGCTTGGATGACTTCATGGGCAGAACTCGATTCAATCAAACTAGGGTTTCAGCTTTCGGGTTTAGGGTCAGCTTGACCGGAAGTTGCACATGTGTGTTGACATGTGGCTACCGCTCAATATGAAAGGTCCGGAACAAGGGCGAGCGCACATCCCGATCCAGACCCCGATCCAGAGCTCCGGATCAAGTCCCCGAATTCCGTTCCAGACCCCTCCGTTCCAGACCATCGAATGCAATACCTGAAAAGTGATGTTGAGCTGGGTGTCCGTTCCATA